CTCCATCCCTGAGATTCATCAGTCTGATCCATGTTTCCATGTCATTGAATCTATTCTGTTCATCAGTTTATTAAGTTTTTTAGATTCCAATGTTTTCTAAATGAATGAAGAGATGCATCACTAACTGCTCAGAGGTAAGAGCAGCTTTAAAGCTAAGACCACACACTGGTGCCCAGACCTAGTAATCTTGCCCCAATAATATGCTTGTTCAGCCCGCAGTTTTAAAGCTTGAATCTGCAGAAGAATGCAGACACGGAGAGCCCATTAGGGTGAATCAACTCACCATATTTTGCAACTAATGACCAGAAACACCAATTTGGCTCTCCAGCCATAGCTCTCAACATCCTAGTAGAAAGGCAAACCCAGGTACATCACAGTGCCAATTTGCTTATTCGGTGATCCATTTTGCTTTGCTAGGGCAGACACTCCTTAGTAAGTCAATCACCACAGCACTCACCCACCGCCCTTTATGAGATTGAGATCAGCATCTACTTCATCAGCACCATCAATGGCGAGGTCGATCTGTGTTGGGAGGAAAGATACAAAACCTACTAGGCCTTCTGAGGGAAGGCTCTGGGCCAAGCTTGAGCATGCAATAACTTATCAGGCCCTCTGCAGCTGATTAGCTAGGTACAGTTAGTTATTTGCTTTTAACCAATCAAGACACTGCGGCTCTGAGAGGTTAAACTGTTCCCCTGGAGTCACCCGGAGACAAACATGGGCCTGGGAACCACACCTGGGTCCAGCTCTTACACTCTCTCCTCACGAACGGGATTCTCTGTGGACAAGCTGGAATTACGGGGATAGTGCAACCTCAATGTGGGTGACATCACCCCAAGTACAGAAAAAGACATATACACATAACTGTGGTATTAAAACGTCATGGAGGAAGGGAGGAGAGACCATAGGAAAAGGCTGAGAAACACTGACACAGAAGTTTCCACACTAGTGGGGCAAACACAGGGCGATTTGAAGTGGACAGAGACGACCCCAAGAAGAGTGATAAAGCTGACACACTTGATGTGATCGTAACTGAAGATTATCCAAGGTACCTGACGATGACCCGGCCACACGCCTGTCTGGACTTGCCCACTCTTTCACTAGAAAGCTCTACCACCGGCCCCCATAGCAGTCAAAAGGCAATCGGTTCATTCACCTTCCAAAATTTGGAATCAAGGAAGCTACATATTTCTCATCACTCCTGTGCTCTGCATGGACAATGTGGGAGTTTCGAGTAGGTTTTTAAAAATAGCAATAGGAAACCTCAGGGTGCAGATTCAGTTCAAACTGCAATTGGAAGTTGCTTGGCGCAGCCGCTGGGGCACAGAAGTAAGGCCGGCAAAGGTTCAGGCACACCCTTGCTGCCCTTTCGGGTGTGTCCTTTGTCCGAAATCACAGCCTATGTTGCTCCTCCTTGACTCTCAGAACCCCAGGGCTGGCCTTGGCCTGGGCACTGACTCTGCAGGGCCTGGAAGGTGGCAACCCTTCCTGTTCGGATGGCAGGTCCATATTCAGACTAAACTACTCTCCTAACAGTGCTCAACAGCTGATTCGCCTGTGCCCAGCTCTGCCCACATATCTTTCTCAATGAGCCCTTCCCATGGTCCTTGCTAACCCCTCTGAGGCCCACGTGCACCATGACAACTAGGGCACTAGACCACCTCTAGACGAGCATCAATCCCTAACCACCAGCCTGGTTTTGGAGTTGCCATACCCTGCCTGACTCTTCCAATCCAATGTTGCCTTTTCCCCATTCCCCCTCGGTCCTCATCACTCCAGCCAGCCCGGGCACTGTCTACATATATCCACATGCCTGCCTAGAACTGCTGCTGTGGGGCCCATCTATCCCTCTCCAGAATGTTCTCTTCTGTCCTTGCCACCTAGCCTTCACAGTTCCACTCAAACTTTACCTCTTCCACAAAACTCTTCCAAATAGCACTACTCTACAGCTAGAAGCACCCGAATTCATATTGAGGCTCTGCTACTTACAAAAAGCACAGCCTTGGGCAAGTGGCTTGCCCTCTCTGTGCCTTTTCACATCTGTGGAAAAGGTGGGTACATAATGGTACCCACCCTCAAGACTACTGGACATTAAATAATTTACCACCAGTACAGCACTGAGCAAAATATCTGGTCCACAGTAAGGGCTCAGTAACTGTTGACTGTGAGCATGCTGCTCACCTTCGCATCTGCAGCCTCCTCTGACAGCCCCAGTGTGTAATCATCTTTACCATAAAACTCAGTGTAACCCGGTCCCCAATGAGAGTGGTGCCTCAGACAATCACTTCTTTTCTCCACGTCATGGTGAGCTCCACGGGCCGACTCAGTATCAAACATCTGTCCAAGGACCGAAAGAGGCCCAGGGTGCAGCTGGGGCTCCTCTAACCCCCTTAATGACACTCAAATTGAGCCCTCAAGGTTAAACCAAAGAGAATGTACTGGAAACTAAACACCTCTCTGCTTGAGACCTCAGCCAGGATTAATACTCAAGGTCTCAGGAGAAAGGTTAATGATGAACTGACCTCTGTCCTACCCACGACAGATACCCAAAGCTCATGGACAAGCGAATGCCACAAAAAAGGAGGCAGCAAGACACAGCAGCCTGACTCTTACCTCTGGGTGTCGGTCCAGGTCGCTGAGTGTTAGGCCATACTGCAGGATGAGCTGGCGGGCCTGCGGAAGACAGGGAAAAGCACCGTGATCGCTTACCCAAGCATGAGGCAAAGATGTGCAGAATTCTGTTGGGTTTCAGTGTTGAACACTGAGTCCTGACCGAGGTTCCCTCCCAAATCCAAATCTGGTTCACCGGCAGATAGGAGATCTAGACCCGTGAAAGGTAAAGCTAAGTTAATTCATCCTGGAGCCAGAAGGTCGCACATGGCACAGAGTGAAGACTGAGTCCAGTGCTGGCTCAGCTTCTCCTCAGTGGCCTGCTATTTAAGACAATGTCATTGCCTCCTAAAGCTTCTGGTAACACAGTGTTTAAAAAAACTTCCTAAAATAAGAACCAAATCTATAAGGATTAGAAAAGTTTTTATTTAAATCCAACAGTGTGGAGAAAAGACTGAAGATGATCACTATGAATTGATACGGCATGATTCCCAGGCAATACCACAGAGTAAAAATAAGCGAAAAAACACATATTCAGAGGCATAGAAGCAGGACTCCCTGAACGGGTAAGCGAGGGGCTCGGCAAAGTGAAGGCCCAGCCTGGGAGACATTCGGGATGTTTGTGGGAAGTCAGCACCACTAATTTTATAGACACGCCTACAGGTAACCTGTAAGAGGCTGACCAAGCAAAGGGCAGTGGTGGCCGCCACCACCTGGCCCTGGGCAGGACTCACAGCTGGAAAAACTGCACATGAACCTCGTCATCCGAGGCCAGTGAGGAGGACTCGTGCTCATGTCATTGCTCACAACCTGCAAAGGAATCAGAGGACGGGAATGTTTCTTTCAAAGGCATGCCTTGAAAACAGTTTCAGCTTAAAGCGAAAAGCACTCGAGATTAAGAATTGGGTCTGGGTTTAATCTTAAATGAACCAGCCATGGAACCCCTGGCAAATTTTCTCATCTACAAAAAGATGAGGGTGACTGAAATGGCCAACATAAATCTTCACACCCAAAATCTAACAATAAAATACTAAGGCCCTGGAATTTGCAATATATGGACCTTATTTGGATCCTGGTTCAAACAAACTGTAAAAAATATTTTAAGGATAAGACAAGAAGGGAATTTTGAACCCTAGATTTATATTTGATGCTATTAAAGCTTACTGTTACATTTTTAAGTATTGTTGAGATGTTTAAAAGTCTCCCTATTTTTCAGACAGAATGAAATACATACAATGAATTTACACTATGACTAGGATGTTTCAAAATAAGGTGGAGGAGAATGGGGCACAGATGAAACAAAACTGCCCATGAATTAGGAATTGTTCAAACTGGGTAATGGGTACATAGAAGTTCTTTATATTGCTCTTTAGCCTTTCTAAAGTTTGAAGTTTTCCATAGTAAAAGGTTAAAATAAAATGCTGACTAAAAAAGCACAAGTTAAAAAAATGCATGATTTCGTTCTTATTAAAGAGAAACATATAATGAAGGGAGAAAATAATAATAAAAATGGCATTGCTGGATTAGTTCCAAGTTCCTAGATTTCTCCAAAAGTAGTACTGGGGAATCACCCTAATTCCAGAACTTGAAACTATAAAAACATTGGGAATCCTGGAAGGCAGCCTCCAAGCTGACCCCCCAAAGATCCCATTGGTATTCATGCTTTTGGGTAGCCCCTGCCCACAATGTCCCAGGACTGTCTGTGTGACCAATGGCACACAGCAGGGGAAATGGCATGACACTCTGAGGACACCAACTGCTATGTCCTTAAGACACTGAGACAGTCTTGGGCACAGGCCCTCTACCCAACAGCCTGTGAAGAACAAGCCTGCAAGCACCACATGACTGAGCAGATCCTTCAACCACGTTGAGTTTTGAGATGTCTGCAGCCGTGACCAACAGCTCAACTGTACCTCATGAGAGACCCAAAGCCAGAACCACCCAACTAACCATAGAGATTCCTGACTCTTGGAAACTAAAAAATAATGTTAGTTGTTTGAAACTGCTAAGTTTGGGGGTAACTTGTGCCATAGCAACAAACATCTGTTACAGATGGTGTTAGAAAAATGACAAGAACTGCATACAATTCAGTGTGATATTGTATCATGCAAATAAAACTGTGATGTACTATGATTTCCTATTAGTTTTATATACTTTAAAAACAGTACTAAAAAAATAAATAAATAAAAATAAATAAAAACAGTACTAAACTGTACCCAAATACATTACATGAAAACTGGATATAAGAAAAACGTTCTATCACAATTTCTATGGGAAAAGTCCTATATAACTATATCATTTTAATTTAACATTTCTTAAGTTCAAAGCACCACTTGACAGTGTTGCTGTTTGATGAGGATGTCCTGTTTGTCTATCTAGGCTGTGATCAGAGTATGAGAACACATTTCAGACACTTTTTAAAATATATATATATGTCTTTATTGATTTCAGAGAGAGTAAGGGAGAGGAATCGAGACAGAAACATCAATAATGAGAGAGTCACTCATCGGCTGCCTCCTTCATGCCCCCTGGGGACTGAGCCCACAACCTAGGCTTGAGTCCTCTTGCATGCCCCGTGACTGGGAATCAAACCACAATCTCCTAGTTCACGGGTCGACGCTCAACTGAGCCACGCGAGCCGGGCAACAGTAACAGTTTTAAAAGGAGTCCTGGAGTTCTTGGCATTCCTCCTCTGCTTGAAATGCCAGCCTTCTCCCAGACTCCAGCCTTCTCCCAGACTCCACCCCTCATAGGAAGCCTTCCCAACCCCCTGGAAAAGAGTGGGATCTCTCCTTCCTCTAAAAGGCACATATCTCTCCTTCTTCTCTACTGTGTATTTGTGACAAATGACACATAAAGACAGCATTCATTCATCCAACAAACACTTGTAGAGTGCCTAAGAGCCAGGCACAACACTGGACTCTGGAGACAGTGAATAACACCTCCCATGTACAGGGAGCCTCATATGCCTGATAAAAATATACACCCTCAATAATCACTATGTCCAACTGACTCCTTTTTCACTACCACCACCATTAGCTGCCCACCCCTGCACCACTCCAGAGTCTGGCATGAGAGAGGGCTGGAAGGTGTTGTCTATGTTCTGAACCTGGGAGGCTTGTGGGTAACCCTCCTGCCCCACACCAACTCTCATCTCCCCAAACAGTAAGCAATACCACGAGCACAGGATCTGTACTTCCTCTAAACCGTATATGCCCCATTTACAACATGGAAGACCCTGTACAATGACCTCAGATCCCACTGGGTCTGGAGGCTGAGCTTTCTTCCATCAGCAAATCCTCCAACTCTCCCTTCTCCCCACCTCTGGCTGGATGCCCCTGCAAGGGGCCCTGCACAGACAAGTCATGCTCACAAATGGCCTGAGTGCTAAGGATTGAACTGTGCTCCCCTAAAGAGAGGTATGTTGAAGTTCTATCCACCAGTACCTGAGAGTATGACCTAATTTGGAGACAAGGTCCTTACAGAGGTAATCAACTTAAAATAAAAATCATTAGGGTGAGCCCTAACCCCATATGACTGGTGTCCTTATGAAGGGAACTATGGACACAGTGGCACACACACACAAAGACAAGGGCATATAAACATGAAGACAGAAGCCGGGGAGATGCACCTACAGGCCAGGCAATGCCAAAGGCCACACCCCACCACAGCCAGAAGACAGGCAGAGAACAGGTTCTCCTCCCAGCTCCAAGGGATCAACCCCGCCAACACAGGATCCCGGGCTGCTGCCTCCAGAACTATGAGAAAATATATCTGTTTTTTAAGCTACTACGTTTATTGTGCCTTGTTAGGGCAGCTCTAGTAAACTAAAACACTGAATTCAACAAAACAGCCCTGCCCTGGGAGCATCGACCCATCACTGGCTCTGTTAGGGGCAGAAATATTAATTATGCTCTGTTAACCATGATTGTTTTGTTGTGATTAGAAAAAGCACATTCTAACCTGGCTGAGAGTTGTACACTCCGCGACATGGGCGTTAACTTTGGAATGTGGTCTATACTTCTTTTATTATCATTGGAAGATTAGTAGCCTTGTTCCCAAAACAATGGAGTCCTGGAGGCACCTGCCCTTTGTGACCCCCAGCCCACAATGCTTGTAATCTGTTAGCATTATACCTTGCCTAGTTTCCCATGCCTGTAATTCCTACTTTCCTATGTAATTTTTATCCTTCTACCCAATATAAGCTGCTAGCTTATGGGGGAGGGAGGGGCGGTGGTAGAGCAGATTTTCATGGATGAACCCCTGCTCTCCCACAGTGCCGGCAATATTGGAATAAATGCTCATATACAATTCAACCCTGTCTCTGCTTAATTGGTTCAAGTAGTGACAGGCAGCCAGGACCCATTTGTTGTCCAGTTTCAACCCAGCCAGCACAAATGTAGCCTCAGGCACCCAACTGAGACCAGCAGCCCCTGGACACCAGACACTCCAAACTCACAGCTAAGGAATCTCCTGAGGGTGTGGAGCAAAGCCCCTTCGGCCTCTTCTAGCTCTCAGAAGTGCAGGGAGCCAGAAAGCTAATAAAGACTAGCTGGCACTAGTGAAAACAGGAAGCAATGACTTCTCACTGCAACCCCACAGCTGATGCCCTCCCGACAGTGGTATATGTAAGGCTAGCAGTCCTTCTGTTTTTCACAAATTTTACAATAAATCTGAAAAGATCTTCCCTCTAGGGCCTGCTTGAGGTAGATTAAAGGCCAGTGTGAACAATAAACAACTACTTTTGACTTAAACCAAATCTGACTTTCAAATGCTTTTTTATTTTCTTCCAAAGCCTAACTTTAAAGGGAAAACCTATACAAATACTTTAAATCACTATAGGTTGGATGTAGGAAAGTGGTGGCACTCTGACAAGAAGCAGAGAGCCCTTGCTCCCAGCCACAGACTGGATTTACCACTAAAATACTGTGTAACCAACTTGGAAAAACAAGAGAAACATACCTGAGTGGACATATTTCAAGTAAGGAGCACTGAAGAAATATCACACAGTCTGGTAAGAGAGAGAGGGCACAGAAAAGGGGAGTTCCCCCTGAAGCCAGTGC